TCAAAAACTACGACAGAGCTGTCGGCGCCTGAAAGGTTCCCCGTAAGTATGCGCAATCAAGAGGGCACTAGAGAGTCAGGCATTCCAATTTTGACAGAAATATGTAGCTTAAGGGGGGAGGGGGAAAATTAGGATTCGAAAGACAAACCCACGTCACTCATGGTCGCATTTAATACATTTTAAGTTAGAAATCCGAGGGGATGAACAAATATTCAAACGGGGTGTTGACCGAAACTTAGCGCAGAAGACTGACGAGTCGCCGACCCGGGAACGACCCTGTTTTATGACTCTCAAAAATCAGCCTCCTGTTAGATGGAGACCTACACGCCCAGAGAAAGAAACTCTAGACAGGCCTAACGTCTAGCAACAAGATTGAGGCCAACGCCGCTAAAAGCCTATTAGGACCAGGCTCGTCCTCCACCACAAGACCGGTGGTTAAATCATTGAAAAAAACACACTGTGGGCTGAATTTAAATACCAGGGCCTCGGGGCAACAAACATGAGACATGTTGGCCTCTGTTATGAAGGAGGCGCAGTTCTTTGATGAAAAAACGAATATTGTGCACAGAACTTCCATGCAAGAATGTATTGGCTTTGTCCCTGGGAAATATGATGGAAGCAGGTTAAACAGTTTCGGGATGAGTCTCCATGTGTGCGCATATTGATAAGTTTTACCAATCCAACGCAAGGGCCGCAGACATGAGCCTTAAGGCAGAACAGAAACTCTGTACTCCGTCCTGCAATCAGAACATGGAGGGGAATGCGACTCTCACGAGACATTTGCCGACGCAAAAAACTTCCAGGCAAGCCGTGTTTTGAATAGAGCATAGAAAGTTGGCTCTTTTTCGGCGCATTTTCTTCCCATACCATCAAAACAGAGGCTGCATTGCAGTGCCCGTTGAGGACGCATTGCCTGACCTGGATTGTACCTTGCTGTCAAAAAGGACTCTGAGAGCTGAGCAAAATGATGCCCATGAAACCAAAGTTCGTAGGTAGTTTTGTACTCATAAAGCACTCCTAGTTTTCAAAAAGCACAGAGACGTCGTCGACCCAGAGGGTGGCAGTGAGGCGTGGGCAGGCAACGGTGGCGGAGTGGATGAAAAAAACGACAGCGTTTATTTTTACGCATGTGTGTACACATTGCGCGATGCGAGTGAAAGTGCCATTACTGGCGTAAACAGCGAGCTCAAGGACTAGATTTGCGCTCAAGGAGAGCACAGGAAGTCAGCAAGTAGGTGGCGAACACCAATATTGCCGTACAACATCGCACCAACTGCCAGTGCCTACTGAATGTGCTTCAACCCGCCGGCACTTCTTCGCCAGTAGCCAACAGCAGGGAGAATGGTGGAAGTTAACAGAGCTTGAGTTGTCCACCTCTGTATTTTCATAACAGCAGAGGAAACTAGCGAGATGCATTGCAGGAAACAGAAGAGTGATCAAGTCGGGCAGGTTTTATTTTCTCACAGTTATCTCCCTGATGGCGGTTGCTTATGCCCAAAACACGGCTCTAACCGCACTGCCCCGAGAGCGATCCAGAAAGTTATTGTCCTTGCGACGCAATTCAAAGTTTGGTGTGGAATTTCTGACGAAACGGACTTGGATTTGGCTGCTTGAAGATGAGCGAAAATCCTGTGGGGGGTGCACACGGGATCAGCAACAGTGACTTACGTGTGAATATGTTGATAGTAAAATGGGCTTGCGTTGGACCTGCCTCACACTCTCTTCCCACACCACCCACAGTGCTCTCCGGTGGAAGGACAAAGTAAGGACGGCAGGCAGTGGATGCTGACAGTGGCCGATAAAGCCAAACAACCCGTCAACGGGTGCCACACACGTGACTCCGGACGTGTACCAAGCTACATTTGAGCGGACGCCGGGATCTCGCAAAAGTGTTAGATTGATAGACAATGGACGGGATTTGCAAACTAGGATTCGCCACGTCCCTCACCGCACCTAATGTACGTAGCTGCCGAACACCCCGTGGAAATCCTGGCCAGTTTTTCGGCACTTGCTGCAAATGACTTAACACCACAAGAACATGAAAACTAACTGCTCGATGTGTCGAGCCTGAAAATCCTGAGGTGGCGCCTTTCCTCTGTGATCAAGTGATCACGCTGACTCTTGCCGGTTGATAATAACTATCAGTCGAGATTACACATTCACCAGCTCTCTTCTGTTCAATTTTCGAAAATAATACTGGGAGCTTCGTGCACACCGTAGACGCAAGGCGACATCGGTGGCGGGGCAAAAGAACAAAATGAAAAAGAATATGCTGCTGCTGCTGCTGCTGATGATGATGATGATGATGATGATGATGATGATGATGATGATGACGCGGAGGAAGAAGAGTGAGATGAGGAGGAGAGGAGGGGGTGGGGAGGAGGAAGAGGAGGAGAGGTAGGAGGACGAGGAAGAGGAGGTCACGCAAAGTAATCGATGCATCTCCATCCGAAACCCACTCCCGAGTCCGCGGAACGACCACGTCTGACGATAACGTCTTGATGGCGAAATCCTGGCCTTCATTTTCTAAGTTATTTCTAGCTATTGGCAGATTGTGGTGGGTGAGCGTTCACTTTATTTAGATGTAGCCTCCATGGAGGCTACGAATGGTTCACACGTTAAAAACCTTGAGGCCGGTCCCGAAGGCCCTTCCCGCAAGGGAAGTATACTTGGTCTGGGTCAGTCGGCCTTATCGACGGCCCTGCAAAACTACCTAGAGGGTTAACAGCGCAGACATTCAACGAAAAACGGCCATAGTTGGTAAGAGATCGAAGGAGTTGTAGACTGCTATAGTTTATTAGAAAGACTCAATGCTATCAGTGACTTCTTGGGACGGTCAAAAGGCTCTTTTCCATACACCTTTCTTAACTAAGTAACTTTAAGACTGAACCATTTGGACGATCAAGGACGCAGTCCTAAGTGGGGTGCGATCTTCAAGGGCAGATCCAATGACCTGTCCTGAGTTGTATAAAAAAAAATTGGAAGAGCTGACGGCAACATATCGAAGAAAATTGCTTCGGGATGCTGTTGTGACTTAAGCAAGGTTTCTGGTGCCTATAAAAACTGCAAATTGAAGGTCAGTCAGGCATATGTTGTGTGGAGGAGAGAATGACCGTCTGTGTAAGAGTTGAGGAATGTATACTCACACGAATAGACTCAAAGTTGGAATCCACGTCGTCCATCAGGAGGTCTGATCGTGAGCCGCTATAGGGGGATCCAGGACCGTCGTGTGGAGAATGGAAAGAACCTCCACCGCTGGAAGTTAAAGGTTAAGAAGAGGCTCAGAGTCACGCAGATTATCAGAGGTGTAAATGCTCAACTACGTCTGCATGGATGCGCAAAATCGATTCTCAGTACTTCGTGCATACTTTTCGCACGCAAGCAGCCTTGCGCGTTTTAGCATAAAGGTTTCGAAAGCACAAAGCGAGTTAAACAGCCTAACCTGCGCCCCAATTCAACTATTATCGTCGACTACAGAGATTGTGCCTACCGGCAAAGCACTGTCCACAAACCAAATATGCAGTGAAAAGTTGGTCAAATAGTTCTGCCATCTTGAATTGCATGTGTTAGTCAAAAACATGTTCAAAGCAAAAAAAGCAAGAGACTAGCTGGCAAAAATCCGACGCAGTGACTAGACTCGCCTCTGTGGTCTATTTGGCCACGTTTGACGGATCCGGTTCGGCCTCAAAGGGCTTACTAGTGAGCGAATGCAGGGAGATCCGGAATTGCCATATGAGGACTGCGGAAAATCTCCACCACTGGAAGTTTGGTTCAGAAGAAGATCAGTGTTACGCATGGGACCACTAAGGTACAAGCTTAACTGTTTCCACGCAGGCAGTAACGTCATCTCCGTGAATTTTGACACACATGAAAAGCCATACGCAGCCATGCTCAGTATCTAATTAGTTCGTTTTCCCACAAACATCACTTACTCTGCAATTGCTGTCATCTCTGACAAAGAACTCCTGAACGAGTACAAAAGTACAGACAAATAGACAGATACTTTTGGTACTCTAACAGTTGAATCCTACGAGTTCATTGTCTTAACCCAAAGTGGATTGGTCTGCAAAAAGGATAACCCTTGATAAACGTGGTGGGTTTGATAGTGCTTAAGGTCAACCGCACATTCATAACTGCGGAGGCATTTTCCCCGAGTCTTTTGTGCTATTAAGGCTGAATCTCTGAAAACCAGAGCGTTTGATTCAACAAGAACAAATAGAGTACATACAGTTTGAAGGGCGTTCACCTCTCAGGTTACGATACATGCTCGTCTTATTGCGCTTTGGGGCTCAACCAAAAGCACTCGCAGGTAGCAGCCCAACGACCAGTAATATATGCAGGAATACCGACAAGGGCAAGGAAAGCTGGGATGGCTAATCCTAACTTATAAGTCCTCGTCAGCCACCCGTACCCAACCCCATGTCTGGATCAAGTGGGGTTCGTGTCCAGGATCTCGGGTAGTTGAGCATTTTGAGGACCAACACCACTGAGCGATTGTCTGGTTGCTCAATCGCTGAACACTCTCTCACTGATAGCTGATATTCCCGATCGCAGCCGACAAGGCAACGGATTTATGGTTCAATGGCAGAGCGTTGAACCTATTAACGCTTGATGGCCAAAGAATGCGAGTTCGATGCTCAAGTTCCGCAAACCCGAGTTTTAGTAAAGCTAGCCGACGAAGGCTAATAAGCCGAAAATGGCCATCTCAGGCTTCCTTGTCTTTGTTGGTATTCCTTCCTGCGAATGCAGTATTTAATGGTTTTCAAAAAGCTTCCCTACCTCAGGCACCAATGTGCTATTTTGTTTTAATCTCTTGTAGGGAGGAATAATTTCCTCGTTTGAACGTAGGCCATAGTACGTCCGGGCTAATCAGACAGGAAAGAAGGGTGTCTGTGTAAAATGAAGTGAGGGGATGTGCGCAGTAGCCGACCACTTCCGTAACGTCCCTTTAGAAAACGTGTGCCGTTACGGCTGGCTAATTGGAAAACTAGGAAAGCAAACTATGGAAAGTGAAGGGCTTGCGAGACTTGCCTCTGGTGAAGAATCGGCCAGGCTCGACGACCTTCATTTCGCATCGAAATATCGGGGCTGTAAAATAAACAATGTGGATCATGGATGAAGTGGATCAAAAAAGCTGCAAAGTAGTTCTGGCGGCTAGATGTGGGCTGATCAGGCCAACAGACGGACCACTTGTGTTTCTTCACGCAATTCCTAAGGCATCGACCTGTATATCTGAATGCAGCCGCCTCCGCCGTCTACGACACGCGTGCCTCCTCCACCTATACTACCATCAAAAATTAAAAACTTGGAAAACTGCAACAGAGGCCAAATCCCCCCGCAATAAGCCACAAAAACTGCTCTTCCATTGTAAACTTAATATCGAAAAACCGATTTTTACAATGCCTTCAATGTCCGCACGCCGCTCATCTCCCCCCCCGCCCTTTTAATTCCGACGAATGCATTGACGTTCCTGACCCAACATTTCGGAGGGTACGAATTACAGACCGGTCACTCAGACCCCCTACAGAACAACGCCAGTTGTGGAGGATAATACAGCTGACGTACCTAAACCACCACGACTACAGAGCCCAGCTTCATTTACGGAGGGGAAACGCATTGGTTGAAGGTGCACATTTTGCAGTGGCCTGATGCCGGCCCGGGCCCTGGATGCAAGACCGATCCTAGGTCTGCGCGCGCGTGCTCACAAGAACGACGAGGGAGCGTGTGATTAGCGTGTCTCACGTGAGAACCAGTCAGCGCCAACTTGATGGTTCGGTTGGATTATTCCTGGATTTGCTAGCGTCTGCGATCGATTGTCCTCGGAGCTGAAACTGTGCATGTTCTATTCACCTGAGAACGGTGATCACATGATTCCAATTGCGGAGTATATGTTGGGGGAGGGTGTATGTGCCTTAGGTACCTACACAGTAGCCAGCTCTGACAGGGGTTAGATCATCGTATACAGTCCACAGGCATCATCAATGTCCATCTTTTTATTCACGGTTTGGATCCGTTTGTCGCTGGATGCTCGGGAAGTAGGTAGTAGGCTTTCCTGCCATTGAAAATTCGTCTCGCTCTGTCAACGTGCGCAAGGTACCCCTGAAACGATCTCCCCGAAACTGAACCACAAGCCAGCGTCCCCTTGTTCGCTCGTCTTCTTCGGGAAACCAAGGTTTCAGTCCATGAACTCGCCTACTCTACTTCATCGTCTTCTTTGGGGGGAGAGGAACGTGATATATCCTCATGATAATTCCGGGCGCGAGGCGCTTCGCCACGCACGGCATTGGGACATATTTTCCTGTAGATAGGGGTCAAAATGGGAACAATATGCCTTTCCACACAACTGGCTCAGGTCCGACACTACGCCAAAGAGTGTTTCTCTAAAACGACCTGCTGGAACTGATTTCGGTTGAGTGGTCGCCGGGGATAACTCAAAAACGAGGACCACAGAAGACTCGAAAAACTCGATTCGCCAACGAGTCTCATCTCTCGTCATATACCACATTCCACGTCGAACCATCTCCTCAGCCGGGGTAATGACCGTCAAGGAGTTGAAGAGGGAAGATGAAGGCACACCAAGACCGGCGGTGAACAAAAACAAAGGCCTGAAACCCCCGTGTCTTGTGGGGGACATCTTTAAAACCACTGGACGCATAAAAAATCACCCAGTGTGGGTCACGCATATCGGCCTGCGATCACTATCCGTCGCTTGCTCATGCAGTCCAAGAGTTGGTTATCACCTGGGAACATGTCAGTTGTTTAAGGCGTAAACTGTCCAGACGGTCTCACTAACTGTTGCGACATGACCGAAAAACGACTAAGAATGAGTATTCACGAACATACCCTTGCCATTAAGAGAGAAGTACGATCAACCGTCGTCATGCATAGTCTCAGAAATAATCTTCAGTTTGCCCTTGACGGTGCACAAGTGCTCGGCCGAGAGAGACAGAGAACCCATGACTGGCGAGCTGAAACAAACATGGTCAGCTGTAGGAGCGACCTACAAGCGCCATTCGAGGCCGTCAGACACGACTTGTGCACGAATGGAAAACCAATGAGAAGAGAGTGATGAGCTTATTAGAAGTGAGAAAGAGAGAGAGAGACTTAATTAAACCGCGCCTCCCATTCTGTCCACCTTTGATGGTGTGCTCAAGCACGGGCGTGAAGTGTCAAATAATTAAATCGTCCTTCCCAGAGATCGCCCTACTTCCTCCATCGGGTTGGCCGGATCGTTGTCAGGCATGAGGAAATGTACAAAAAACAGCCAACACTTTAAACATGCTTAAAAATCAGTACTTCTCCGACGTTTCTGTCGGAAAGCGTCCGTCGCATATACTATTGTGTGTCAATCGGTTTCCGTCTCTCTCACTTTTCCCTAAAATTTTTGTAAATGGCGGCCCGAGAAGTCATCGTCGAAAATTTACTAATAAAGTTCTTATCCGTCCTAAAGAACCCACTATCTTTATATTTTGGGATGTCAGCCTTTCAATATATATATATATATGCATATATACACATCGTTGGTCCTTGTTAATGGTGAACCTGTCAGCAATGTCTGATAATAGCAGCATGGGATGGAAGTGAAAAGTACCCGCGCAGTTTACTTACCCGAAGTCAGGCGAAACAAGCGAGGGTTCGGGGCCACCAGTTTCCAAAAAGCCGCTGTCCTCAGTCTAGGCATACATAAAGGGAGAGACGCAATACAAATCGTCTGAATGTTCGAAGGAATCGCATGAAAGTTATGCGAACTGCTTGTTGTCGCGTTAGCTCGTGAGTCTTCGGAGAAACTATGAATATATATTTTGTAATCCACAGCAGTACAATGCTTCTCGTGAAAGACTCAACAACCATACGGTCGAGCATCCTCTTGCTTCCATCAGTATTATCTTGGAATGTGACCGAGTATTACTGCAGGTCTCTAATCGTTACGCTGGTTCGTTGCTCGTTAGTTGCCTACTTATATCTCTAATGAAGTAAGCAGGGACTTCCTGGGGTGTGTGGAGTAGTAGACAAGCACCCATTTTCACGACTTCTAAGGCGGCAATACAGGTGCTCCTTTGGTCTAGGTATACATCGAATGGTCTTTCTACAGTTTCTATTGGAAATTGTCGGATTTTGCATTGGCGAGTAAGCATCGCCTTCGTGCTTAGACGGAGAGCCCTCTTTCATCAGTACTCAGAGCAAGTTGCCACATATGAATGCTTAAAAATAAGGGTGCAGTGCAAATATTCCCATGTCGGTTACTAAAATGTCCTTATCTTCATTGATCGACAGGTAAATTTGCTGTTCCTATAATTGTTTTGTGACATAAACAACACGTTATCTACTAGTCAGCTCAGGCCCAACTTCGGGATTCTCGTGCCTTCAATGCATCTAATAGACAAGAAAACTCACACAACAAGTGGTTGAGACATCAAGGTGGGGATCCGTGATATTTTAAATCTCAAAGACAGACGGTTCTAAATGCTGCATTAAGTGGTATCTCACTATACACGATTTCCTTTCCTCCATGAAAAACCTCTGAGATAAATTAGGTCACGCCGCTTTTTTCGTTTGCTTGGTTCCTTTTACAGGTAAAATTTCTATCCATCACCGTGTAAATGCCATCTAAAACAATTTAACTTGATTTTCAGTTTCATTAAACTAGGTTACCCGCATCACTTGCAGGATAATTTTTGCCTGACCTAAGTCACCAGCACAACACTGCCTCTAAAGTCACTACTTTAGTGAATAAAAGGGCAGTGCGAAACAGAAATCATTAATAGCTCCCATATTTGCACACTGCTAGCGTGGGTTTCAGCAAAATTGTGTATTGCTCAGTAGTCACTTCGATAGTTGCGTAATAGTATTATTTAGTGGTCAATAGACTGTAAAAAGGGAAAGGACTAGTTAGGAACTGATTTGTGAAACAAATGAGAAGAAGACGTTCTCGAAGCCAATCGTAACGCTTGTCCTAATAATTCTAACAAGCGTAATCCATTAGGAGACCTTAAAAGTCCGCAAAGTATTCAAAGTCATGAGCTGTCTGGCCACTAACAGTTAAAAAAGTGTTGTCCGATGTGCTTTCATGCGGCGGGACGGCAGAGCGACCCAAACGTTACGGTGTCGGCCGTGGTAGGTGAATAGATGTGAGCATGCAAAATAATTAAGGAGGCCTATGCCTTCTAAGACGCTAAAGCATTTAAAAAAGGAATGAAATACACAAATATTTACAGACGGTGGATAAACGCAACGCGGACGTTTGGACAACTTCTACGATTACCAGAATCGGCTATATTTATTACTGCGAGGGGAAGCGTTAGGAATATTTGAAAGGGGAAAGTGATGGGGCAACCGCGAAAGTGTGTCGAGTTAATGGTTCGACAAACTACTGTCAATAAGAAGACGTCATTTTCTTAAGCGTAAACGCTTGGTGAACAAAGGAACAAGAGAACATATACTAAGGAAATACCCGCAAATCGTTCTCGCCTTCACTTTGATTCAGAACGTAGTCTTCTGGGTTAATTGAAACACTCCTTCCCATCAGTCTGAGGGTCATATTTTTGCGCTTCGGTTTTTCAGTATCTATGAGAGCAAAAATCGAAGGCAATCGAATCCAAACCTTCCGAACAAAAGTAGTCTTGAAATGCAGACTTGAAATCCTCGAAAGATATTATACCGTCTTTCTCAGGGTCGAGGACACTAACAATAGTTTTGACGTTCTAAACCGTATAATTAGACGGGATTGCCAGACCAGCGAATGCTTCCGATTTAACGTGGGATTCTCGTCATCATTCTGAACTAACGAGGAATAGAACTGTTCTAAAGCGGAAGTAAACTGTTCCACAGTTATGTGGCCCTTATGCTCGGTATCTAGTGCGTTGAACACTTTCTGAAGAGTCTCAGTGTCTAGCTGCATCGCACACGCTAAACAGGGACGACAAAATGCGCGTAATACCCTAAAGGCCTTAGGCGACTAAATTTTATATTGCCCGCAGGTTCAGTCGACGTTAATTATTGGTTATTTACAGAGACCGATGATTGGTGAGGTTTTACCACAGCATCGTTAGAACTTTTTGTGCTGAGGCAGAAGATAACTGATTCTCCTGATTGTTTGATTAAAGCGACTTCCGAAGAAGTAACAGAGCAGCGGCAGTTTGCGATTTTGTGACTTCGGAGTCGACTGCTAGAGACCGTGTCCGAGATTTGAGGAATACCTGCTGAGCAGCACTCCGTAGGTTAATCACTGCTAAGTGACACATCATCTTATATTTGATCAATGTCTCTAAGATCTTCGAAACTGCGAGGAGGTTGTTTATTGGCCGAACGTCATCAAATGACTTAGATTGGTCGTGCTTAGGAATGGGCAAAATATGTGTCTACTTCCATAAGGTAGGACAGGTTTCATTTTCAAGAGCGGGATTAAATATCCTCCATAAGAGGGATGGGAAAACGTATTCGTATCGGTTTTTAAAATGCTTACTGGGACACCATCAGGACCAAGGCTATGAGACTGACGAAGACGCCGAATCGCAACAGTCACATTCCACAGAATGAACATTATGATTTGGAGAACTGCCCCGATCAATGTCCGGATGGTCGAAAGCAGAATAGTCGAGTCTTCAATGAACGTTTTGGACAGGAAAGAGCCGGCTACTACCTGCAAACACATCAGGCATCATTTAACGCGTCAAATATCTAGACTGTCTGCGACATGAGCGACGAACGAAAGCGAATGCTCATGCTTGAGCACGATTTAATCGTAAGGCGAAAGGATGTACGATCGCACGTCGCAATGCGCAGTCTGGAAAAAAGTCATAAGTTCAACTTTGACGGTGCCAAATTGCTCGGTCAAGCTGGGGGCAAGATGGCGAGAGAAGTAATCGAAGTCTGACAGTCAGACGTCAACTCGATCGACCGCAGTATCAACTTAGCAGCCCCATAGGAGGCCGCCAGACACCACCTGTGCGCGAGAGATGAGGCAATAAGAAGAGAGTGGAATGGACCTATCAGGTGCGGACACGAAGGGCCTATTTAAACCTTGAATTTCTAATTTTCTCTGTCACTGATGTTGTACTCGGGTAAAAGTACGAAAATTTAGATGGTTGAACCTCCCTTCAGAGATTGCCTTACCCTTTCCTTCTATCTCATCACCTAGGGTCAGCATTTTCTATTATTTCCATAGGACTTGCTAGCGCAAAGACCTTCGCCGAGCACGGCACTGGGAAATACACGGAAACGGTTGTCTTTTCTACACAGCTGCTTAAGGTCGGTCGTTATGCCTGGGAGCATTTCTTGAAGGCCCCCAGCTACAACTTAGTTCGGTGGCGAGGTCGCCAGGAGCTGCAGTCGACTCCCGCCAAGGAACCTCATCAACGAATACCACATTCGTCTATGAAAATACGGAAGATAACTTGAAAGGGAGAAAGCTGCATGCTCACCATACCTGGAGACATAGCGAAGCCTGGAGAGCTGGATGTTGACCAAGGTGTACAAAGGAAGAATCAAGAAAAAGACCCGACTTCTCAACAGAGTGCGGGGCCTAGAACAAGCACAAGCGACCGTGCTCGAGCCGTAATCCGTGCGCAATCTGTCGCCCAAACAGCTGACAGATGACCACATTAAAACGCTTAAACATGAATCCGCCTACAAAACAGGAGGCACATAGCTGAATGATTTGATCGCCGCACTAGATGCGATACTGGTAGGCAAAATCTGTAAGAGCCGAAACAAGAAGGGAACCAGCGTGAAAAGCCGACGAACGGCTATGATGCTCGAAACGAGAGAGTTTCCGAAACGTCCGTATGAATACAGCTTGGTCCATAAGATCACATTCTCGTCTTCGTCTTCCGCGGGGGATAGTAAATACGACACACATGTAGGTCAGGAACGGACGGGAATGCAGTAGATTCAGCAATATTCAATAATACAAGAAAGGAAGAATTACAACGAGGATGTGGCCCATCTAAATAAAGAGATGAGGTTAAAAATGCATGCGAGACAGTAGGTGAGGAGTTCAGCAGTGTGCGCTACTGGAGGGGAGGGCGGTGGAAGCCGCCGACGTAGAGTGAGCGGGACGAGCATTAGGACGGAAGTTGCAGGAAGGGAGTCGGCAGTCGAATGGGGAAGGGACATCGACTATTTTAGCTGACACATGGTGTCACCATCTTCATCATGTGCCCACGCCCAAAGCGCTACCACATTCGAAGAATCCACTATGCTTTTCTGTGTTTTATACCTCATTCGACTGCGTACTTTGTTTAACATAACGTAGACTGCTTTTCTGTGTACTATGATGGCAGTGGCAAGTCTCGTGTGCTCGTGTCCTCTGCGTGTTAGATTGGCGGTAGCCGTTCAGATCTGTCTTTGTTTCTCCATTTTCATTTCTATCTAACAATCGTTTAACTGTTTATTCAAAAAATGGCACTTTTTCGCCATTATGCGTCGGTTCGGTCGTTTAATAATGAAAAATATGCGTATATCTGGGCAGTTCGGAAATGATTATCGACGTGTCGATAATATTAATTTGTTTCACACAGAACTAGCCATGCGATCGTTAACAAAGGTCCACGCTGTTCTAGTAATACTTGCAAGAGTATTTGCTCAGATTGTATCGGAGAGGGAGAGAAAAAAATAGCTGATTACGTCTCGGACTAGGAAGATAGTTGAAGCATTTTCGTCGACAATGACACTTAATTTAAGTCATTAGAAAAAATACAACACACGGCTCCGTATGCCAGTTCTAAAAGAACCTCACACGTCTATTCTGTTTGCTTGAGTAAAAGCTCTCCCGCTATCCGCTGCAGACCGGACTTAAGCGGACATCAGTGAATAATTAACAGCCATAGAGCTCACACACTTACCATTATTTTTACTCCTGCAGTTCGACACTTATTCGGAGTCAAGCTTTTGCGAAACAGTAAAAATTACTCTGAAAACCATGTGTCGTTCAAAGATAGTTAAAGGCTCTCGAACATCATGGGCAACACATAAATTAACCGGGAATGGTTATATCTCGCAATTGGCCAACAACACAGTGACCGTGCCAACTGGAGCCCTGTTACTAAAGGGGTCTGCCCAGGATTATACTCCAGTTGACCCAGACGTTACACGCCCGCCAAAACTCACAGTCAGCTAAGTACGCGACAGTACTCGGCTCTGCTCTTAGTTGCGTGTATTTGCACAACTTACGTACCGGTACATTTTGGCAAATGAAGTCTCGATTTTGCCCTGTTAGAACGATTTCTTGCGGACTATCGCCGTTTACCTCCTGCCTGATATAGCATTTACCAGAGAGTCCTGTTGTCGCATTACGTCAGCTGTGCCGGTTATAAAATCGTAAAACTAATTTTATAAAATGTTGCTTTGCATGTGTAATAATTTTCTGCCAAGAGTCCCAGTAATGAAGTTGAGAATAGTCCATTTCGACATAATGTGCAACATTAGCAATCCTCACTGGTTCCTGAGTACCGGTCTTCGCATGACGCAAACTACTGTTCAGTATGTCTTTTTGTAAAATAATAAAATATCTGGTAAGAAAAGTCAAGTTGGCGAACACGCGTTTTCGGTACTTCTTCCTCAGGCCAATACAATTACATGAAGGAATGAAAATGTACAAAATCAACAGTGTTTATAGATGCCTCAAGGGCTATTAAGTCACTAACACTCATCATCCCCACGCCGCCCGCATGAGAAGGTCGGCGGGTGTTAGTCGTCAGAGCTAGGAGACGGGGGTAAGAGAGTCTTTGAGTGATGTTCTTGGGTTGAGTACACGGAGTACCCATCATCGGTATGGCTTCATCACTTGGGGTTGGCGTTGGCCACGGCAGCGAAAGCGCTTGTGTCAGAGTTTTCTGACAGCATAACACCGGATTCGCTAACCGTATAGCTACTGCCTCGGCCGTTGCTAGTATCCGTTGGCGTAGGCCTTTAGAGAAGCATGTTGGTGTTCGGTAGACAACCTGAAATGCTTTCTTGGCATCGACTCGGTGGTTCGTATCGATTAAATGCGCGAGAATAGAACTCGAAATCGACCGGGTCTCACCTCTGTCTAGCCAGGCGGGCATATGTTCACGCACCCTCTTTACCAGGCGTCTCGTTGTGCGGCCGATGTATCCTGCTCCACAGGAGCAGGTGAATGAATAAATGCACATTGATGTGGCCTCCAACGGCAGTCTGTCTTTACCTCCCAAACGTAGGAGGATGATGAGTGTTAGTGACTTAATAGCCCTTGAGGCATCTATAAACACTGTTGAATTTTTACATTTTCATTCCTTCATGTAATTGTATTGGCCTGAGGAAGAATTACCGAAAACGCGTGTTCGCCAACTTGACTTTTCAATTGTAACGTGGGAATATCTGGTAAGAGTCGAGGTGCACCAGAAATGGATGTGCTCTATGGTTAAGCGTTACTTATCTAGTTACTGCTCATGCGCTGCCGACGGAACCCATTATATTATCCGCATTGCTCATTTATACAGGAAACGCTGTGACCGAACTGCTTGCCTTTCGTATTAATTTCTCCAACTGCCATTTTTGCTGTTGGTTCCACTACGGCGGCTTTCTCCGTAAAATAGGTTCTTATCTCGTATTCCTAAGTTAATCTTAAAGTTCAAGCATGTTGCTTCTTAATGTAATTTCGGGAGACAATGTCATCCTTACTCTGGCCTTTCGGCAGCAGACCCGCCCCGAGGCATTTGAAACTGCCTACTTCTTCGAGTTGACAGCTATCAATCCAGAGAGGTGCCTTCTCCTGGTCAGAGATGCAGCTTGAAAACACTTTAGTCTTCCCAGCGCCTATGGCTAAACCGACCGATTCAGCGACATCATTGACCCGTGACACCATAGACTGCAGATAACCAAAACTTGAAGCAAACAATGCACTATCATCGGCATAGTCGAGATCAGTCAGTCGATGTC